ATCAAACAGATTTTAATGTTTTACCTTATCAAACACTTTTGCATAACCTATAAAACAAAGGTGTACATCTGCAGAGGGTTTTGGCAATATTTCTCGGAAACTTCAGAATAAACGAAAAGAACCAAAGGTATAAAGAAATAATCTTTGAAGATCAAAATTGACTGACAAGCAAGAAGCCGAAAGAGACTTCCACAAGTGAGAAGTGCGATAGACGAAACTGTTACTGTTACATCTAGCCGTTTCAACTGTAAAATGATGTAACCTTGGCGCGAAACTAGTGCTGCGTTTAAATTCAAAAAATCTTAGGAAAATAGAGGAAATTTCTATTTTTATTTTTCACGTTCACAGGATCTATTAAGGGCAAGTGAGACAGAGGCCGGTAGCCAGTATTCTTGTGTAAAATATGGTAGAAAGGGATAGTAAAAAAAAAAACACTTTATCGTTACCGCCATTACATTTTCACAGCAATCTCTTTCTCCTGTTTATTGTTTCTCTATTTTTACCTGTCATCTCTCTTTATTTTATTACCCATACCACCTCCCCAATTCTCACTTCACCCCCTTTATATTTTCTTCCACTCATCTCTTCCTATTTTCTTCCTCCCACAACCCTATATTCACCTTCTCTCAATTCCCTTTCAAAACAAAACCGCTTTCATTTAACAACCATAGAGAAACTTTTCTGCCTGAAATCAGTATGACGGGCGCTAGTCTCCAGGAGACCAACACTGCGCTTACTCGTCCTCACGTTGTCAAGTGACTTGAAGTAGATCGACTCCATCGAATCAATAGCTGCATCTACTGCAAGGAAAGTTATGTCACTGTGTTGTGCCAGAACATTTTTCCAACTTGCACATTTACAAAACTACCATTCGCCCGTGTATTGAATACTGCTGCCATATCTGGTCTGGTGCTTCTGCTATTCATTTCGAGGTTCTTGACAAAATCCAAATAAGGATCTGTAATGTAATCAGTCCTGATTTGACAATTGATTCACCAACGTAACGTGGCTTCCCTCTGACCTTTCTACAAAATTTCAACGCCTCCAAATCAAAACTGTTTTCATTTAACCACCATAGGGTACCTTTTCTGCTTAGCATCAGTATAGCAATACATTGCACCTTCTTGACCTCACGTTTTCCACTGACGTAAAGGGGAGCGACTACATCGAATCAATAGCTGCATCTACTGTAAGGAAAGTTCGGTCACTGTGTCGTGCAAGACAATTTTTTTCCGTAAGAGTCCATCTTGCACTTTTACAAATCTACCATTCGTCCGTGAATTGAATACTACTGCCATATCTGGTCTGCTGCTCCTGATATTCATCTCGAGATTCATGACAAAATCCAAAGAATGATCAATAATGTAATCGATCATGACTAGATGTCACGCCTTCAGTCACTTTCTCACCGACGTGGTCAGGCTTCCCTCTGTTTTTTCTACAAATATTTTCATGTCAACAGCTCTAACAAACTTTTTTCTCCCTCTCCCTTTTTCTCTTTTCTATCTTTAACCCACCCTATTTTCTCCACCACACCACCCACTATTTTCTGCCTCTCACTTCCCCTATTTTCTTTCACACACCACTTTTTATTTTCTACCTCTCACCACTTCCTATTTTCTACCTCTGACCACCTCTTATTTTCTGCTTCATACCACTTTATATTTTCTACCTCTAACCACCACCTATTTTCTCCCTCTTAATGCTTCCTGTTTTCTACTTCTAACCACCTCCTATTTTTTTTATCTCTTCCCCTTTTATACCTCTCACCACACCCTACTTTTTCTTCTTACTTTTTCCTGTTCTACCTCTTACCGCTTCCTATTTCTCCCCTTTCTACCTCCTACCTTTAACCACTTCCTTTGTTCTTCCTCTTACCTCTTCCTAATTTCTACCTTTAATCACATACTATTTTTTCTCTATATCTTCCTATTTTCTACCTCTAACCAACCCTCAATTTTCTCCCACACCCTAATTTCCCTTTTCCTATTTTCTACCTAACACCTCTTCGTATTTTCTACCTCTAACCACCTCTTTACTCGCACTGACCTCTTCGTATTTTCTACCTCCTACCACCTATTTTCTACCTTTCACCTCTTCCTATTCCCTACCTCTAACCACCGCCTTTTTTTTACCTCACACCTCTTCATAATTTCTACCTTTAACCACCTCCTATGTTTTTCCCTCTCACCTTATTTTCTACCTCTAACCACTAATTTTCTCCCTCTCGCCTCTTCCTATTTGTACCTCACACCTCTTCCTATCTTCTACCTGACACCGCTTCTAATTTTCTACCTCACACCTCTTCCTATTTTCAACCTCACACCACTTCCTATTTTCTACCACTAACCACCTATTTTCTCCCTCTCACCTCTTCCTATCCCCTACCTCTAAACACCACCTATTTTCTCCCTCTCACCTCTTCCTATCCCCTACCTCTAAACACCTCCTATTTTCTCCCTCTCACCTCTTCCTATTCCCTACCTCTAAACACCACCTATTTTCTCCTTCTCACCTCTTCCTATTCCCTACCTCTAAACACCACCTATTTTCTCCCTCTCACCTCTTCCTATTCCCTACCTCTAACCACCTCCCATTTTCTCCCTCTCACCACCTTTGTATTTCCCTCTCACCTTTTTTCTATATTCTCCCGCTTTCCACTATTTTCTGTCCCTAAATGCCACCACCTATTTCTTCCTCTCACTCCTTCCTTTATCTTATTTCTTCTTTCCGTTTTGTTTATCCTTACTTTTTTTTTTCGTTATTTCCTCTTGTTCTACTTTTTTCACCATAATCATCACCGATTTATTTGAGTCTTTTCAAATTATTTTTATAATCATCCCCACCGTCGTACTCTTCTTCATCCTTGTTTCTCTCCTGCCATCGTCGTTCTTTCACTTTTATTCGTCATCATATACTTGTTTGGTCTCCATTGCCCGGCAACTGGCTCTAGCTGTGGGAAACGAAAGAGACAAACACAAAATACAAAACCCATGACAGCCAACATCAGAGTTTGACAGATGACCAACTGCAAAGCAAAAAGATAATTAATATTTGCTGGCTATGGCGGTTATTTTAGAAAAAAAATGTTTCCACGACACGTAATTCCAAGAACGAACATTTCGTTCTTCATTCTCTACCAAAATGATTAACAGACCACAAACCGCGCGTGTCGTTTTAAGCCGACTAATCCGGATGAGAAAAGGGTTAATCAGTTACTCGCCAAGTGGATTAAAAATGTCAAATCGATGAGAAAATAAAAGCAAAACACACAATTGTAAAACACACAGAGAGAAATATACAGGGGGTCCCAGAATTAACCATCAATTTCAATGAAAGCAGTTAATTTTTTTTAATATACTTATACAAATAGATTTATAAACTTACAGCAAAACTTTATTGAAATTTTTCAACATGTGCCCTGTTTGTATCCCTGCAAATTTCAAATCGATCCTCAGCTTTGCGAAACATACTTTGAGGCATTTCAGTAGTTATTTCCTGCACTGCTGTCTGAATACGTTCTTTAAGCTCAACTAAACTATTGATCTTCTGGGTTTAGGGTACTGAATGTTAAATTAAAAAAAAAAATTAGAAAAAACAATTAGAAAAATTATGAAGTTCTGAACAAAATTAGAAATTAATACACTTTTAACACCTATTAAACACGATAAACAAAAATTAAAGCTTGTTTTAAAAATTGTCCAATTTCACTGAAATAGTTAATTTTGGGTCGCCACATGAACAGAAATATATACCTATATCCGGTCGAGCACTCTGGAGTTAAAGCGCGAATATGAAAACAATAACAACTCCTGCTGATACTGCAAAGTTCTTTCAAGAATTAAGCTCTCTCGTGTTTATTCAAAGAATAGGTACGTAAAAATTCGCATTCCTCTCTGATAGCTCAGGGGTAAAATCTCCGACTAATGCCAAATCTGTCGGGTTTCGATCCTGGCTTGAGGCAATCGGAGGTCTAGCTATACTGATGAGTGGATCTTTGATCCCTGTGGATGGCGATATATATATATATATATATATATATATGTATATGTGTGTATATATATATATATATAATTAGGAGATCAGCCGATTCCGCTACCTGTGTTTCAACCGTTCGGTACAAGGGGGTAGAATCGACTCATCTCCCAATTTGCTAAATTTAAAAGCTCTACATTTTAAATTTGTATTTTTTTATACGTGTATTGAGCTTAATACTACTTTTTCCTTGTCTAATTCAAATCTTACCATTAACATTTTTATCATATATATATATATATATATATATATATATATATATATATATATATATAAATATATTAGGACTGATCCACAAAAAGAGCTTGATGTTTTTTTTTTTTGTTTTAATTTATACAAAGCAATATAATTAATGATCAAAATATCCTTTTACCTTATATTGGGAATTGCCTATTTCGGCAGACGACGAATGTGGTCGTCTGTTTTTCCCCACCGGGGTTGAAAAGTCAGACGACCTCTTTCGTCGTCTACCGAAATAGCCTATGAGGTAAGAAGGATTTATTTGATTATTAATTATATTGCTCTGTATAAATTAAATAAAAATACATCGAGCTCTTTTTTGTTTTAATATTTTCATATTATTATATGCCAACAATTTTTTTTATTTATTTATGTATATATATATATATATATATATATATATATATAATATTTACAAAAATGGTGCTTCCATGGGCCAGCCCCAACTTAAAATTTCATGTGAAATTACGAAATCCTCAGGTAGCCGGCATTGCTTTATGCTAGTCGAACCTGCTTTATAGAACCGACTCCCAAGGGGATGCTTTTTCGATCAATACAATCTTAACTTCTTCAGCTGTGCCTCTTATTCTGCAAGCTTCTGCCTCGAGTGGCTCTTGGGCCTCTTAATGATAATTTTCCCTTGTGGGTGCGGCATTTGCATAACTTTCTGTTATCCAGTTGCCGCACATGTACACATTGGTTGTGCCAAACATCTTTTTTACACGTTGCAGGCTCCTGTTCCCGTACGATCACATAAGTTAAGCAACGTCGAGTCTGGTCGGTATCTTGATGGGTAGCCGCTTGCGAATACCATGTGCTGTAAGCTTAGATGGACTAGTGTTAAAATGGATAATGGCTCGGAATTGTTAATTGACTTCTAAGATCGCCACAATTTGTTAAAATGAAGGTCTAACCGTTAAGCACATATCCCCATGCACTGTTCCTCTTTCACGATATTATCTACCTCGATTGACTCTTGGGCCTTGTACAGAATGAAGATTACTATTAAAAAAAAGGTTTCTTTTTTTGTCTCTGTGTTTCGGATGATATTTTTACCGGCATTAGATCAGTATTGTTCATCTAACAGGCATTAGATACCCACCAGGCTGAAATTTTTGACTAAGCAGGATTTTATATTTTGGGTTCATCCTGGTGGGTAGCAAACAATGTCGGACGCCTGAGGATGGAATAGTAACTTACGCATGAAAATTTAATTAGTGGCCGGCCAATTTTGTAAATAATATTTGCAATACTATAACGCGAAAGGCACTTTTTACTTTCACCTCCACAAGCCCATTTTTCTAGCCCTTAGTCTGTATTATAATTATTAAATAAACTATATATATATATATATATATATATATATATATATGTGTGTGTGTGTGAAGAAATACAGTTTAAAGGTGTGCTATATTTATGGGATAAAGTGCTCAATATCAGAGATAGAACGTATGTAGATATAAATATAAAAGTGAACATTGAATTCAACACTCAGAGGCAACAGGGGTTTCGTGCTAGACGCAATCGTTTGGCCTGATGGTTGCGTCTAGCAGTAAACAGTCTGTCGCCTCTGAATGTTGACTTCAATGTTCACTTATATATATATATATATATATATATATATATATATATATAATAAACAATGAAATGCAAAATCACCTCATATGAGGAATAGGCTATTTCGGCAGACGGAGATATCGGTCGTCTGTCTTATAAACCCGGTGTGGACTGAGTTCGTGTCAGAAATAGAAATTTAACTGTCAAATCTAACAAAAAAAAAAAAAAAACACCAGTGGAAAAACTAATGCATAATTTATTCATTTCAATGTTTCAGTCAGAAAAAAGGCACAAGGCAGGGGTCAGTGAAGGGTGGAAAGTATTTGTTTTAAAGGGAAGAAGTTTTATAAAATTAAACACGAATAGTAACCTTATGACGTTAATTTGGGATAATATAAAGAATGAAATATTAATTTAAAATTAAGTGAAATAAAGGTGGGTTTAAGAATAACTTTAAAATATATAGATAAAAGGATGTAAGAAATTAATGGAAAGAGAGATCTTAGATTTAGAGGAAAATTTATAAATTGGAATTAACATTGTGTATAGAGGTTATAGAGGGGGAGTATAGAAATTAGAATTATTTATACTCTCGACATTTGAAGAGTTAATGAATATTATTGAAATATAGTAGCTAATTGAATTAAACCTATATTTTGGAAATTTGAATTTGTTTTTATGTCGACATTTTAACATTAATTCATTCCTCTGATTCAATAGTTGGCTTTGATTATTGTATTTTATTATTCTAATTTTTTCTTCTAAACATAAGTCACACCTATCTCAAAGACGATTGGGAGTACGTTCAGAGCTTATAAACTTTCAAACTATCTGTAGGCTCAAACCTTTCTCCTTCAATTCCCATTTTTTAAAGAACTGTCTGGTGTTTAGTTTAGGGTTAGAAAATCTCTGTTTCCATTCCCCCGCGGAAATTCCAATGTAAACATTGTAATTTTATATATTTTCTTTCGGGGAAATGTTCGCTTGATATATAACCCTGATAGATTTACTGGACAATTTTCTTTAGAGCTACAATCACAGGAGGGTTCGATACCAGGTTTGTTGTTTATCCCATAGAAAGTACTTAAAATGTGGTTATTGTGTGAGCTGTGCATACCAAAGCTTGTATAAATGAGGTAAATAGTATATATAATATCTTAGCCAGCAAATAGACACACGTGGAATTTTGCACACACGCACGCGCTCTTACGGACGCAGAATTAGAAATAATATATATATATATATATATATATATATATATATATATATATATATATATATTAACATAACTGAACAAAAACACATACATCTTTCACACACTCACTCTCTCTCGCCATATATATATATATATATATATATATATATATATATATATATATATATATGTATGCATAGCATTTTATAATATGTATGTATATAGAGGTAACTTCCAACAGAGTCATAGAGCGATCAAACTTTTATTAAAGAAGAAAAAGGGAGGAAATCAATGTCAGAAGCCAAGAGATTTTTAAAAAATGGCAAAATAAAAGCATCAAATCAGGAAATGGAATCATTCACTTGAATATTGATTGACTGACCCAAAAATTAGCCAAAATTGCTTTCGCTAAAGAGCAAAAACATATTTGTATTTTTTCTTACTTTCCTGGAAGCGAAGGCATTGCAGAACAACTTAACAAACCAGGCATGGATGATTTCTAAATTGCAAAGACATTACTTGTCTCAACAGAAAGACTTGCCAAATAGACTATTGTATGAAAAATTATAAAATAAAAACAATTTGAAGTATAAAAAGTTAAGAAAATGTGAAGAAAAGAACAGGTTATGAATTATATATATATATATATGTGGGGGGTGGAAGTATGTATTACTGCAAATGTTGTTATAGTGAATACTCCGTATTTGAAATAGAGTTCACAGTTTAATAAAAAAAATGGGGCGTCTATTTCAAATACGGTGTATTCATTATGTTGTTGTGTCCTCCCTCTAAAGAATCTATGTTGGACTCTTCCGCCTACTATAAGATTAGTAGGAGAGAAGGTCTTGGAAGAACAGTCGAATAGATTGTTCATCTGTCGAACGCTCTGTCTAGAGCAGAGAGGAACTCGAACGAAGCTTTGTCGCGAGGCAAAGTTTCGTCCGGGGAGGTAGACAGTCCCTGAACCCGTTTATACGGGTTCAAAGGGAATATTTTTGGCCGAGCCTACGGGATCGGAGAAACCCACGTTAAACTCGGCCTTGTTCCACATACATTCTTTGTGCGGGAACTGTTAAATATAACAGTCACACAGATTGTTCAACTGTCAAATTCTCTGCCTCGGCAGGGCAAAATTTCGTCCGGGGAGGTAGACAGGACCTGAACCCGTTTCTGTGGGTGTTAATGGAATATTTTTGGCCGAGCCTACGGGCTCGTAGAACCCACGGTAAACTCGGCCTTGTGCCACATACATCCTTCGTGGCTATTAAATATTAACAGATTGTTCGTAACTGTCGAACTCTCTTGCCTCGAGCACAGAGGAACCCGGACGAAGCTTTGCCGAAGGGCAAAGATTCGCCCGGGGAGGTACGCAGGCCCTGAAACCGTCTTTACGGGTTCTAAGGGAATATTTTTGGCCGAGCCTACGGGCTCGGAGAACCCACGGTAAACTCGGCCTTGTGCCACATACATCCCTCGTGGGGGGAGTGTTAAATATTAACAGTCGAATAAATTGAACTCTGGGTCAACCGACACACACACACACACACACTAGTCGTGTAATACGCTTCCGTTGTAGTTACTGTTTAATATATGATATATCTATAACACTTGTTTTGTTATTTCTTTAGCGATTTACTTGGTCACAACATATTTTAATAACGTTTGAAGTAATAAAAAGTCGGATTAAAAATAAATCCATTAATTATCAACACACACATAAATATATATATGTGTATGTGTGTGTGTGTGTGTGTGTGTGTGTGTACGTGCATTTGTGTGTATAAAAATGGATATTGAACTTAACACCTTGTGACAAGAGTATGTTTCCTGATAAATGCCAATCGTCAGGCCATGACGATGGTCTAACGATTGCGTTTAACATGAAACAGACTATTGCCTCTGGATGTTGATTTCAATGTCCACTTTTATATATACATACGCTCTATCCCTGATATTGAACACTATAAAACTATATATACGATTGAGTCTAGCATGAAATAGCTTGTCATCTCTAAGTTTTGACTTCAATGTTCACTTTTATATTTACACACGCTCTATCTATGACATTGAGCACTTTATCCCATAAATATAGCACACCATAAGAGTATATTTCTTATTTCTTTTATATATATATATATATATATATATATATATATATATGTATGTATGTATGTATGATCGTTGTAGGCACCTACTCGCATTCGAACATCGGGATCGTCATACTCTCCTTATTCTCTTTCTCTCCTCTGGTGGAAATGGCGGAGATGGCTGTGGCCTGGATGTCGGTGGCGGAGATGGCTGCCAAGGCCAATCCTACTCCTGAAGAGTCGTGAGCAGCAATCACAGAAAAATGTGGGTGCTGGATGCGGTCGGGTCCTCCTGACAGCACGTCGCAGATCATTGACGGATGGACTCGAAATACTCGGTCTCCCCTCGGATGGTCCTACACCAGGAAGGTCGATTTGCAACAGGGCTTTCCAAGATCTCCGAGTCGATATGGCCTATGTCATCTGATCCTTGCTAGCGTCGTGTTGGTTCTCTGCGTAGACATTTGCCGTTTGCGACTTCTACAAAGAGGATGATAGATGGGAGTCGAGTGGGACGCTTCTTGTCCAGGAGATGTTGAAGGATGGTAGCCTCGATGCTGGAGAGAGAGAAATGTCCGAGAGAGGACATCGTTGTTGTTGATGTGGTCCCCACAACTGATGCGAAGGATTCTTCGGAGATTCGTTTGCTGGAACCATTCTTGCCGTTTGATATCCCGACGATACAAACTCCATGCTTCGTATAGAAGGGTGGAGAGGACCATAACAAGGAATAACATTATTTTTTATATATATATATATATATATATATATATATATATATATATGCCACACTACAAAATTTTAACACGAAGACTCACTCAACCCCTTTCTGACCATAGCTCAATTAGATCTCATTTAAATATTCATGGAGACTTAACGGACACTA